GTTATGATGTCCACAATCCATATCAGAGTGCCTGGGTTCAATACCTGGCTCTATTCCTGATTCTACTAATGTAAACTCTGGGAGGCAGCAGTCTTAGTTCATGCACAGAATATCTGTATTGAGTTCTTGGTTCCTGGCTGTGGTCCCAACTAAGGGGGCCTTGCAGGCATTTTGAAGACTGAGACAGTTAATATATCCTCCCCTCCCCTCCCCTTCCCACCTCTCCCCTCCCCTCTCCTCTCCTCCTCTCTTCTCTCTCATTGAGTCACATCAATATCCTGCCAAAAACCTTCAAATAGTTTATCAACTCACTCATAGTAAAATCCTCCAAGATTTTCTCCCAAGAAGAATTCAGCAATCATATAATTTTGAGTAAGATTTTACACTGAGTCTTCCTTGTAGAGGTTTACTATATTCATCAAAGGTTGTGAAAAATTCATTGTGGAAAATCCAATGTTTTCAAACATATTTGAACTTTTTAAAAAATATTAGCAGTACTCCTAACATCCCCCATGATACTGTATTTGTGAGTCTTCAACATTTAAGTAAAAGGTAAAACAAGGACTTGAGATGAAAAATATTCTCTAGGGAGAGTGTTAAGAGTGAGATGAATTGAGTTATAAAATAAAAAAAGCATTTTCCTTCATTTTTGTTTCCATTAAATTGAAAGTGAATAATATGAGGTCGATATGTCTAATCGGTATACTCTAACCACGTAAAGAGAAGACAGCAATTTGGAAACACAGAAAAAACAAGTATAGAGAAGAGAATAACTTTCCACAAGGGGCATTACTGCCACATTCATCTTTTTTGAGGAAATTGAAAAGAGATACCAGAAAGCAGCTGTTATAGATCAGGGAGGCAGAATTTCAGAGCCTCACAGCACAGGCCCTTACTGGGTAATTTGAAGCAAGTCTCAAACTCTTCCAGGCTCAGTTACCTCATTTTAAAATGTGAGGAATTCTTAAGGTACTGAGATGCAGCCAGAAATAAATGAGTCAATTGATGTAAAATACTTTGCATGATTCCATCATTTAGTAAATGTTCATTAAATATCAACTCATTTTTTTTCTACAAAGAAAAACAAAGCCACAAAGAAAGGGTAAATTCATGGTTTTAGACCAGGAAAGGAAGGTTTTACTAGCAAGGAAAAGTATATATAGAATAGCCACTGAACTAAAAGAAAGGAACCAACTCTGGGTCGAGTGTATGGAGACAGAAATTTAAGTCCTGAATCTTTCTATGTTCACTGGGGCTTATAAAGAAGTTCAGTTTCTTCTGTTAAAAATTAGAATAAAAACATTCTATGTGACTGGGAGATGAATAGATCAAATGACATAGTAGATGCCAACAGTCTTTGAAAAGGTAAACACACTCTGTTTGAAAAGTTAGATATTGATGTAATTAATGGAAGCCTTAAAGCCATAAATAAAAAGAGCAGCAACATTTAGCCCAGACTTCATGAAAGCTGTTTTCAACATATTTATAGAATATAAATTACCAAGTGATGAGAAAGTGTCCAGTGGTTAGGCAAGATTCCCCGGGAATATAGCAAAAGAGTTAGGGATAGAATTTCGGGGTTTTGGCCTCATGTTCAGTTTTCTCTTCCTGCGCATACTCAGAATTCTGACACTTGTTTCCAAATCTGGATCAATGATGGCACTTCATATTCTGCTCACAGGAAAGCCCTCTCTGTTAATGTTTTTCTGCTTTGCTGCAGACTGAAGAGCCCCAAAACTACACTGTACAAAACCCACATATCTCCCCTGTGGTCAATGATATTGACATTTTCTGCCTGATCTGGAGATGCTTTATCCACAAAGCACAGTAAATCTGATTTAGTCTCATTCTCCTTATCACTGATAACTCTGACTTTGGCAGAATCATCTGTCATGCCAAAAAAGAAAAAAAAAGTGAGAAAGAAAACCCAAATTCTGAGATCCAAATGTGATGTATGGTGAAGAGTTCTGCAATTCAGCTCCTGGGGTTTTGTTTGTTTAAATTCTCACCTAGAGTGAGGATATCTCAAAAGAACCTTGGGAGTAAATTTTAAAGCACACTGGATGAAATCTCACCCAAGCAGATAATTTGTCACCACCGTATATGGCTTACTAAGTAGTCTTTTGAATCAAGTGTGCAAACTTAGTCACAAAAGCCTGATTGTTGGTTATGTAGGCATGATGTAAGAGGTCAGAGAAGAAAAATAATAAAATGTCCTAATGAGAAAACGCATAGATTTGTTAAAAACGAGGTGAGACAGTTGGGAGATATGGCAATAGCTATTGTCCTTTCTCACATTGCTTTGTCATTATAGGTCTCTAGTCTTCATTCATACACTTATCATAAATGTGAACATAGCCCAAAATCCATATTTGGAAATAAACATGCAAAGATTGTCTCAGTCTACAACCCCCTTTCCCATGTTTAGTAGAGAGAGCCTTTTGGTTTTATAGGCTTTCTCCATTCTTCTGCTAATAGCACACTGTTTTTCCTATCATAAATTAATGTTTCCACATTCCATGTAGTCCTGGTGGAGCTGTCAATGATAGTGATCCCTTCTCCCATCATAGTTTGTGGGCATGTGATTCAAGCCAGCCAATGAGATTATTCTGTCCCCTTGGTTACAGTGACTGTTGAAAATTAACACATAACCCAAAGAAGTTCTAGTCTTCTCATACATTTCATATATGGAGGCTAAAAAAGACAAAAAGAGTCTTTTTTTGATTTTGTCTGGAGTCACAAACAATAAAGATATAAGCATGGTCATCTCTCTCACTGAAGACTGAGAATGGAACTTACATGTGGAAGGAAGAAGAGCTGAAAGATAGAGAAAGAAGAGCCAGATAGACAACAAATCAAACTAAAAAGACACCATTTGTGTCACTGAATCTTGCTATGCAAAAATCAAGCAGCACCTCAATCTCCAGATATGGAGGCTAATGTATTCTCCTTTTAACTTTAGGAGTTTCAATTGGATTTCTGTGGCTTCTGGCTAAAACAGCAGATACAGTAAATATTGAAATCTTTTGGGTCATAATGTTTAGGACCATGTTTTATCAGTGCAAAACAAATAAAAACCAATTTGTTTCTGCTATTTCCCTTGAAATTTGCTTTTGACATTTCCCTTGAAGACATGATTTAAACAAAACAATCTGAGAATATGATAGAGGCCATCTTTGAATTGTGGTGATTTGAATCACTTTAACTTTTACAAATTTAACAGTCTGAAAAAGAATGTGGAGAACAAAACTCAGGAAGCACATCACTGAATTAGAATGAAGTATTGACCTTCTCATTGCTTAAGGAGTGATAATCCTCTTCTCTCTACACTTGTGACCAGCTTTGATTAAAGTTCAAAAAAGGTTATTTTATCAATTTAATTTTTTCTATATAAGTGATGACTGTGCCAAAATTATTTTGCAGTAGAATGTGGCAGAATAGTATTTTAAATTGTTAATCAATTGGATTGTTTTTCCCAACATATTTTCTATTACCCAACCTCATTTTATAATTAGAACAATTGAGCATATTGTGTTTATTATAACAAGGATGGAAAGAGCCTAAAGAATGCCTGACACAGCTTACAACTTTTGATCTAAAACAGTCCAAATAGGAGAAAATCAGAGATAATTGAAGAGAACTGAGAAGTCAGTGATATTCAGATAAGTGACCTTGAAAAACACCAAAGAAGAAGTCACCACCTGACACTGGACTGATCAAACCCTTGTCCTACAACATCCCCTAGTTTCCCATAGCCTCAAAGTGGGCAGGGAGAGCAACAGAGAGCTTTCCATGCTTCCAGGAGGTGCTCTGAAGCAGTGCAGAACCAGACCTGGAGCAAAGGAGGGCAAGCAGCAATCTGCAGAAATCCACAACCCAAGGCCAGAGAGATGGCTGTTATCACAGAGTACACCTGCATAGACAGATGTCTGGAAATAGACATCGATGTGCCCTACAACATGAGCTAAGGAATTCAACTGCCATCCTGGGAGAAAAGAGCAGGGCCTTCAATTGATTGAAATTTTAGTTTTGTTATCAGGGGAATGAGACCTTAAAATGCAATTATATTGAGTTGCGAAAAACAAAGATTACATTTCTTACACTTGATCTTAGCCAAAAGGCCGAGAAGCGATCAAAGATTACATTTCTTAAGCACTAGATAGAGTTCATGGGCAAAAAGATTCAAATTCACTATCAAAATATTTCTCAGGGTAAAATAACTAAAACAAAATTTTAAACTATTTTTTAAAGATTTTTTATTCATTTATTTGATTGGTAGAGTTATAGACAGTGTGAGGGAGAGACAGGGAGGGAGGTCCTCCTTCTGTTGGTTCAATCCCCAAATGGTCGCAACGGCCGGAGCTGCGCGTATCGTAGCTGCGCGTATCTGAAACCAGGAGCCAGGAACTTCTTCCTGGTCTCCCATGTGGATGCAGGGGACCAAGCACTTGGGCCATCCTTTACTGCTTTCCCAGGCCACAGCAGAGAGCTGTACCAGAAAAGGAGCAGCCGGGACCAGAACTGGTGCCCATCTGGGATGCCAGCACCACAGGCAGAGAATTAACCCACTGCGCCATTGCGCAGGCCCCTTAAGCTATTTAAAGTTTGCATTTAAAACTATGGATCTGTATACTTAAGGTTGTGTATGAAACACTTAAGTTTTGTTGCCAGCAGTCAGCATTTGCTTCACATTAGCTGTGGCCCTCACATCCCCCGTACATTTTCAACTTGTGTCTAAAGCTATTTCCTCTTCACTTTATCAAATAATGCTGTACCCCAAGCCAGGCATCACGTAAGAGAAACTGTTAACCACAAAAAATGCAGTGATCAAGAAGGTGGCCTAGTCAGCATTCCTGCTATGTGACCCTCAAGTCCCCATCTCAAACCTCACATCCTCTGACAGAGTCTGCAGAATCCCATTTGTATGCAAAGCAAGGCACTGAGAAACAAGGGAAAACAATTTCCCATGCTCTAAGTTTTTTTCATCTGCTTACAAAAAAAAAAAAAAAGGCATCTTTACCTTATGCAGCTAAATGACATTTTCCTTTGTCTCATTTTATTGTTATTCTTTAAAGAAATAAGCATTTAGTTTTTATTTTATTTTTTAAATGGTTTAGGGGCTGGCACTGTGCAAAACAGGTAAAGCTGCTGCCTCTGGCACTGGCATCCCAGATGGGCGCCGGTTCTGGGTCCGGCTGCCCCACTTCTGATCTATCTCTTCGCTATGGCCTGGGAAAGCAGTAGAAGATGGCCCAAGTCCTTAGGCCCCTGCACCCCTGTAGGAGTCCCAAAAGAAGCTCCTGGCTCCTCCTGTCTTTGGATCAGCACAGTGCTGGCTATTGTGGCCATCTGGGGAGTGAACCAGTGATGGAAGATCTCTCTCACTTTCTCTCTCTCTTTCTCTTTTTCTCTCTCTGCCTCTGCCTCTCTGTAACACTGCCTTTCAAATAAATAAATCTTTAAAAAATGTTTTAACTATTAGAGAGAAAGAGAGAGAGAGAGAGAATGAGATCTTACATCTGTGGGTTCATTCCCCTAACTCAACTGGGCTTCGCTGGCCAAAGGTAGAAGCCTAGAACTCACTCTGAGCCCCCTACTTGAGTGTCAAGAATATAACCACTTGAACCATCACACACTGCCTCTCAAGATGTGCATTAGCAGGAAACTGGATTGGAAGCAGAGTCAGTACTCAAACCCAAGAACTCTGATTTGGGATACAAATTTCCCAAGTGGCCTCATAACTGCTGTGCCAAAAATCTGCCCCATATTTTTCCTTATTTTAAGAAAGGAGTAACATGCATCAAATCCAAAACATACATCAGGAGAACTACTGGCTGCTTTATGTGATTTCCCTCATCTAATTGTCACAACAGCACTGTCCACTAGATTTCATATTTCCCATTTTCAAATGAAGAAAGCAAAGGCCAGAGTGGTTTAGTGACTGATCTTAGGCAATACCACTGATTAGAGGCAAATTGGGAATTGCAGGATAAATAACCTGGTTCTGAAGATTGTACCCTTCAATTATACCATATACCTCCCACATTTCAACGACATTAAAAGACCATACCATTGGGGCATCTGTTTGAGCAGTGCCCTCCTTGCTATTCTTTGTTCAAGAATCTTCCACCGATATTTATGCATATAACCACATTTTCTCATCTTCAGATCTAAGCTAAAATGTCACCTCCTAAGAAAGACTTTATCTAAAGTAGAGAAAGTAGCACCTCATTCCTGAGCCTTTATCACATCACATCACCGTTGTTTTCTATGTTTATCATTTCCTGAGATTATCTTTTTTAACCTGTTTTCTTTCTCCTCAAACTGAAAATTTCTCATGTGCCCTAATGGACTGGTTACTAAAGTTAATTCTCTGTCTCCATTCTGATATCACAGTAGCCCCAATTATTACATTCCTTCAGTGAAATTCCACAAAGCCTTTTCACTTCACTCAATAAATACCAAGTCCTTCCCCAGTTGGAAATCTAACCGCTTCTTCCTTCTTCAAGGTCTGTGCTCAGTCATCACATCTGCCTGTAACAGTCAGTGTGTACACAGTCACCCCTCACTCTCATACTTGCCTCAAGTCACTCTTCATTCTAATTGTTTAGAATATCAAAGAGGGATATGATAAATTCTCACTTATATATCTAACCAAAATCACTTTACAGATATTCTTCTGAGACCAATTTTTTGATTCTAGGAAGTTTCCAGAATATTTAGACAAGTTACTAAAGGAAAAAGTAAAAATATTTTCATCTTGTTATTTCAAGAAAAAAGAAATAGGCTTAATCTACCCTCTGCTGGTCAAAGAGTTGAATTATCTCTTTTGGCTTTTCTAGGATTCTGTTTTCCTTTCATTTCTTTGAGCTGCTGGCTTATTTCTTTTATTGGTTTGTTATTTACTCATTTCTTTTTTGTTCAATGTACATTTTTGAGCATCTATTAACTATTCAAAGGTGGAGATACAAAAGTAAGATTCAATTTCTGTCTCCAAAGATACACAAAGTCTAGTAAAAGACGTTTTTTATAAACTGTTAGGAGAATCACTGTGATGTCTGCCACTCTACTCTTTCCATGGAAGCCTTCTGACTATTCCAAAAAACTCACAACTACAAAAGTCAAAAGATCTTCCTGGAATCTCATTTTTAGAGGACTGGTGTAAGAAAAGACATTCTGTGGGGCCAGCACTGTGACTCAGCAGGTTAAAGATATAGCCTGCAACTCTGGCATCCCACATGAGTGCTGGTTCCAGTCCCAGCTGCTCTATTTCCAATCCAGCTCCCTGCTAAATGGGCCTGGGAAAAAGCAGTGGAAGGTGGCCCAAATGTTTGGGACCCTGAGCTCATGTGGGAGACCTGGATGAAGTTTCTGGCTCTTGACTTCGGCCTGGCCCTGAACTGGCTATTGTGACCATTTGGAGATTGAACCAGTGGGTAGAAGATCTCTCTCTCAGTCTCTCTCTCACTAAAAGTCTGCCTCTCAAATAAATAAATAAATCTTTCAAAAATGAAAAGACATTCTATTTGGTAGAGAAATGTAGTCTTCATAACAGCATGCTCATTTTTATATTTGTGCCTCAGTAATGGAAAAAGATTTTAATTTGCTCCATACTTTTCTTATTTCTGTGTTTAATGCCAGCCCAACCTCTTGCATAATCAAAACCTTTGATGAAGTTGAGGTGAAAAGGAATGGAGAGAGGCAAGAACCAAAGTGTGTATCTACTTATTTGTGATTCTACACAGTCAAATGGTAGCTACTTCTACTGACTCACACTCATGTTCTACCCTCCCACCCCAATTCCTCCTAGATATGAAAAATCAAAAGAATAGAAGGAATGACAAACAAATCACAGGAAGCACTTAAAAAGAATTTTATTTCAATTATAATTTTTTTGTGACAAAACAATCTCAATGTCAATGGAGAAGACCTGCCAGTAGAGTGCATTCAGAAAACTACATTGCTCTGGGGTACAATGGGTTAGGGATTCAGGGAAGATGAAATGTTTGTTTTTCTTGGGGCATAGAAGGTAATGCAATAAAGGAGTCTAGATGACAAAGGTTTAGTAAAATATGACTTGTTTCCTTGTTATAATTTCTGTATGGCAATTTATTTTTTTAAGGTTTATTTATTTATTTGAAAGGCAGAGTTACACAGAGAGAGAAGGAAAGGCAGAGAGAGAGAGAGAGGTCTTCCATCTGCTGGTTCTCTCTCCAAATGTCCACTGCTTTCCCAGGCCATAGCAGAAAGCCGGATCGGAAGTGGAGCAGCTGGGTCTCGAACTGGTGCCCATATGGTATACTGGCACTGCAGGTGGTGGCTTTACCTGCTATGCCACAGTGCCAGCCCTGGCAATTTATTTTAAAATGCTTCCATACAAAGGATATTGTATGTGGATGTGTATTTGAATATATGCACTGTGCATATTTATGTGTGTGAATTAATTTTAATTTGCTTCATAGGAACAGTTAGTACTTAGAGTACTACAATCAATAATCCACTTTCTGTCATGTTATACATTTTAAGTATATACAATTTTAATTTGTTAATCAAGTATTTTAAAATAAAAAAGTTAAAAAATCCACATTCCAAGGTGACTATGCTGTATTGCAAGTATTTATTCTAAACCTACTGAAATCCTACAAGGTGTTGATTTACAAAAGAAATATTGATTTAACCTCACTGGTGAAAGTAAATGATGTGCAAGGGCTGTTTTTGGCTAGCAATATTTTATATGCTCCAATGCCCTTTCAAGAATCAAATATAAAAACCTGCCAAATACAAATGTCTAACACTTTCAATTCATCGTTATCATTAGAACTTGTTTGGGACCTGAGTCTTCCTATCTTTACAAATGCTTATATCACCTCATCCAGAAGGTAGCTGATCTGGGGTCCATAACATAGGAACTATTCAAGTTTGGCATATTTGGAGGATCTGAGGTCACAGAGTGAGGAGTCATACTGTAGGCATGAAAGTCTTTGTGACTATTCAATAACGAATACACAAATAATATAAGAGTTTGATATGATAATTACTTTCTTGTAATATCCCATTATCAGTGAGGTTGGGAGACAGGAAACATATAATGCCTACTGCCTCTCACCTCCAAGAGCTACCTCTGCTGCCTTGTTGATTAAGATCAATTCACAGCAGTCCTCCTTCTTGGATCATTTTTTTTTTCTTTAATCTGTTTTGAATAATAACACCAAGACAATAGGGTTATAACAAACCCCCCCCTACATCAGAGTTTTTGACAGTTTTGTACAATATTTATTTGAAATGTGAGATAAAACTTATACATGGGAATAATAATAACACAAAGCAACAATCACCCGATATATTGCTGAGGTATCTACCTTCCTTGAACAGACTCTTGAATATAGGAGAATTAACATAATCTAGAAGAGATGTATCTCAGCTGTGGTGCAAGAAAATGTATGGTAAAATCCTCATGATAGATACTATAAGAAATGTGCAAGGGAAAACCCTTTTGAAGTTTTGTTAAGCACAAACTAACACACAGTTTTTATGCATGTGATTCCAGAGAAATACATTTTTGGTTAAAAGTTTCTTATAGAAAAAACTATTTATTCTCCTGATATTCTAGTCTTCGCTAGTGGAGCTTAATAAGAGGAAAAAAATTAAATGGTCTTTTGAGACACCTTAAATCTTCATAAAGTTTATTTGCTTCCAAAATTACATAATTAGGGAGCTAAGGGCAGGCAAGAGCAGAATGAGATTGCTCCATTGAAGGGTAATTGGTGTGTGATTATTACTTAGTAGGAAATTGTGTATCTCTTAATTTTCTTATTGTGTACTGCTGCCACTTCATTATCATATAAAAGGAATTGAGCAAATTCAAAAATAAATAAATCACTAAAATGCTACATTGTCCTAACAGTGTCAAACTTCAGATATTTTGATAATCAGTTTAGAATAAACAACTTTAAGGTTTAGAGGTTAGAGTTCTATTAAACATCAGCTCTACTGTGGGACTTAATTAAACTAAATGCATAGACAGAGTAGGAACATCCCACATAAAAGCACATTACACACCTGAAAAGCACAGTTATTAATTAGCCTGTTGGTATGGTCAGTGCAATGGCAAACAGAAGAATTCCATTCTGGGAACTGAATTATCAGGTTGTTCTACAGTTCCCAAATCAACTGCATAATGGTTAAATCATAACTTGACCGTGAAACACAGAATTGAAACAATTGTTTAAATTAAGTTTGAAAGAGAAGCACACACACATACCTTAGCCTAAAATAAGTACAGTTGCAGAGTCTGTCTACTCTGGTTAAATTATTTAATTCTCTTTTACAGGCAATCAGCATACAAGGGAGTTTTTGTGATAACACAGTACCACACAGACATTCAAAATAGTCACACCTTCATCAGTGTATATATAGGAATCCCTAATTCTATTATCTTTCAGATCAGGTACACATGCTTTCAATCTAAAAAAATTCAATTTGGGTGTTACTGGGAGGTTAAGACTTTTCCTTATGTCCATTTTAGTTTTTTTTTTTTTTTTATCCCTGAGGTGAGTCTTGTAATCAATCTTGTTATTAAAGGTGAGTAATAAGAAGAGCTTGCAATTAATTTTTGTTATTTGTGGGTGACATTTTGTTTTGTTTTGCTATTTGGATTTGTTTAGTTTCGTGTTTTGACAAGAATGGGGTCATATTGGGAGTAGATTTAATAACCACGTTGGCTTAAAAATGGATCATTGTAAATAATACTGTGTAGAATATCAAGTCTCACCGGCACTGCGTCTACCAGTGCATTACTCTTTGCCTACTTCAGGGAGAAGCAACTCTTTTCTTTTTTTTTTAGCTCCACTGGCACACTATAATGCTTTTGCATTGCTCAATATCTACTTCCATTTGCTGTTCCAGAGGAAATACTGTGACATGCTGAGCCAATAAGAGCCCTTTTCTGGGACTTTCAGGTTTCAGACAAAGTGTTATCTGCTGTCAGCAGGAACTAGAAATCAGGAAACTCTGAAGTTGTCAGTGGTCATGCATCTAGTCTGTTTTCTGCTGCTCTCACAGAATACCACAAAACAAGTAATTTAGAATGAATTTATTTCTCACAGTTCTGTTGGCTGGGAAGCCCAAGCTCAAAGGGCTGCATCTGGTGAGGGCCCTCTTTCTGTGTCATCACACGGCAGAGTGCATCGCGTGGTAAAGGAGTGATAACTAATCCTTTCCAGTGATAATAGCATTAATTCATTCATGAGGCAAATCCCTCATGATCTAGTCTCTTCTTATAGTTCCCACCCCTTAGTACTGTTATAATACCAATTAAAAGTCAACAAGTATTTGGAAGGACCACTCAGGCTATAGCACCATGTCAACAGCCACAGAGAAACAGAAAACATCTACAAGGAGAAAATATGTAAGTCACTGGTGAGTAGAAATGGGAAAGGAGAAAGAATCTTGAGAGTAATGAAACCCTATCATATTCCTTCCCTGACCTCAGCTTCTTTGATCCAATGCATTTTCACTTTGGCCCAATCTTGAGTTGAGCTTCTTGACTAAACTAATAAAAATTGGTATGTAATGTCTGATTTTACCAATACCCACAAAAACAAATCAAGTATAACACATGTAATACAACTTGAAAAGAAATCTTCTAAGTCACATTTCAATTTATTCCAAATTGGGCACGTTAAAAAAGATGAATCTTAATACATACCACTCTGCAAATGGCTGTTTAACTAACTTCATTTGATTGATTCAACCTACAGTTCAAATATATAATTAGAGTTTTCAAAATATTGTTAAGTCTGCATTAATTCTGTACGCTTAAATCTGTATAGGTTTAATTTTTTATTTTTATTAAGAAAACAACATATATTTCATATATACAATTCTAAGAAGATAAACATATATCCCTCCTTTCCTTCCTCCCTCCATTCCACCTCCTTCCTCCCTTTTTTCTTTAATTTTTGCAATAACATACTTTCAATTTACTTAATAATCACAGACTTAATGCACCACTAACCATAATGTTCAACAAGTAGAAAGTAGAAATACCACTATTCCATAGGAATATAGAAAAGGGCTATAAAGAATAACAAAATCATAAGATATCAATTTCATTCTTATTCTATATTAACTACCACTTATCAAAGGAAGCAGGATATTTGTCTTTAGGGGACTAGCTTGCTTCATTAAGCATAATGGTCTCCAGTTGCACCCATTATGCTGCAAAACACAATGAGCCTTATGTCATTTTAATTTTCTGTAATTCCATCCCATGCTCCCTGGGTAGCCTCGAAAAATATCAGTGCTCATTTCTGGTAGCACAAGGAGAATGATAAGCTAGAGCTCTTTTGAACCTGCATTGTTTAAAAAAAAAGTTACTATTTTACCTGTCAAATTGCTCCCTGAAAGACCCCACATGAATGATTTAGCTCTCTGTGACCTGGGTCAGAGCTCACTCAGTGCTAAATTTTTGTCCTAAGGGGGCACAAATCAAAAACATTTGTAAGCAAGCATTTAATATTTCCAATGCCTTAGAAAGTAGATAAGAGTCAGGGCTAATATAATCAATTAAGAGGCTCATAAGGAGGGGCAGACATCTGGCTTAGCAATTAAGACTTTACGTGATTACTATCTTCAAGCAGACATTTAAATTTCTGACATGAAGTGTGTATGACTTAAAGTGACCATAAGATTATTTATTAATAGTGTATATTATAGTTGCAAATAGTTTTTGATTCCTCCAATATAGATGATGCTTTTCAGCTCTGTCTTCCTGAAAAGCCATGAAACCTGCCCCTACACACACATACATACACATATCCTGAACTCACATTGGATAAATAACATGTGAACACTGAGCCACTCCACATTTATGGGATGGCCACAGATCTGTTGGAGGTATGCATGAAGGGCCAGCCATTATCCCTTTCTTTTCTTATTTTTTGGTACCACCTGATACTTTGTTTTTTCATTTTAATGTGATTTTAATACAAAGAGAACACATTCAATATAGTTCATAGATACAATTCTAAGAATATAATGGTATTCTCTTCCTCCTTCCCACCCTTCCCCGTCCATCCCACTCTCTCTTCCTCTCCATATTGTGGCTATTGTTAGCAGTACTGCTATAAACATGATGGTGCATGTATCTCCTTGATACAACATGTTTATGTCCTTTGGGTATATACCCAGTAATAGGATTTCTGGATCATATGGCAAAACTATTCCTGGTTTTTAAAGAAATTTCCATACTGTGTTCCACAATTTCAACAATGCACAAGCACACTCTTAAATTCATACGAAAAAATAAATTTTTAAGAGAACCACAATTGATATAATGACATTTAAAAACAACATAGTTGGAAGCTCAAACTTTTCTATTTCAGAAATTACTACCTTATTACAAAGCTACAGTAAAAAGTAGACTGTGGTAATTAGCATAAATATAGACTTAAGACCAATAGAGTAGAATTGAGAGTACAAAAATAGACCCATAGATGTGTGATTTTTATGTTAGTAATATTCAGTAGGAAAAGAAGACTTATTTTTTTTTCAATTTTTAAGGTGAAAATATTTCATGTATTTCATATATACAGGTTTATGAGTAAGTAATACTTCCCACCCTACCCTCCCTCCTGCTATTTCTCCCAAACTCTCTCCTCCTTCCTTTCCCATTCCTTTCTTTAATTTTTATAATGATCTACTCTCAGACTATTTTGTACCCATAAGATTAATCTTACCCTAGGTAAAGAATTCAACAAATAATAATAAGAAAACAACACTATTCCTCAACAGTAGAGACAAGGACTATAAACAATCATTGAATTTCAAATGTCAATTTCTCTCATATATATTACCTTTTTTTGGCACTCTATTAATTACCACAGATCAAGTTAAAACACATGGCATTTGTCTTTCGTGGACTCAGTTATTTCACTAAGTAATGATCTGCAGTTGTATCCATTTTGTCGCAAAATACAAAATTTCATTCTTTTTTATGGCTGAGTAGTATTTCTTTCTTTTTTTAAAGATTTATTTATTTATTTATTTGAAAGACAGAGTTACAGACAGTGAGAGGGAGAAACAGAGAAAGTCTTTCTTCCATTGGTTTACTCCCCAGATGGCTGCATTGGTTGGAGCTTCGTCTATCCGAAGCCAAGAGCCAGGTGCTTCTTCCTGGTTTCCCATGTGGGTGCAGGGGCCCAAGCACTTGGGCCATCTTCTACTGCTTTCCCAGGCCATAGCAGAGAGTTGGATTGGAAGAGGAGCAGCCAGGACTAGAACCAGCGCCCATATGGGATGTCGGCACTGCAGGCGGAGGATTAACCTACTGTGCCACGGAGCCAGCCCTGGCTCAGTAGTATTTCATAGTGTGTGTGTGTGTGTGTGTGTGTATCACAATGTATTCAGTCATCAGTTGATGGACATCTGGGTTAATTCCATAAGATAGAAATTTTAACAAATATTGCTGAAACAACTATTTTCCACATGCAATGGAATTATTTTGTACTCCTACCTGACATCAAATGCAAATATTAACTCAAACAATTAAACATAAAAGTTAAAATAGTAAGACCCTTAGAGCCGGCGCCGCGGCTCACTAGGCTAATCCTCCACCTTGCGGCGCCGGCACACCAGGTTCTAGTCCCATTCGGGGCGCCGGGATTCTGTCCCTGGGTTGCCCCCTCTTCCAGGCCAACTCTCTGCTGTGGCCAGGGAGTTCATTGGAGGATGGCCCAAGTGCTTGGGCCCTGCCCCCCATGGGAGACCAGGATAAGTACCTGGCTCCTGCCATTGGATCAGCCCGGTGCGCCAGCCACAGCTGCCATTGGAGGGTGAACCAACGGCAAAAGGAAGACCTTTCTCTCTGTCTCTCTCTCTCACTGTCCACTCTGCCTGTTAAAAAAAAAAAAAAAACACACCTTAGAAATACCCCATTTAATTTTAAGTTACTTCACCTTGGTCGATATTATTCTTTTTGTCCTCATGCCACATTTAGGGAAACTGAAGCTTTCTATGATAGAAAAAAAAAATCAATTTTTTTTTTTTTTTACAGGATATGACGATTCAATCTTTGTAAAAAATATATACGTCTACATAGCAAAAAAGGACCTGCCATGGTTTCTACCATATTGGTAACAGTGCTTGTCCCTGCACACGAGTGTTTATTTTGTTCTTTGTTTACCTTAATTTCCCACTGTTTGTACAAATCACATCATTTGCTTTTGTAATAAGGAAAAGTTAATCTGTTATAATCCTTCATTTTGATAAAAACAAGCCCATTTTGCAAGAACTTCAGTTTTCTTAAGCAGAACTGATTTCCAGCTTGTCCTGGGGCAACACTTTATCCTCTGCTGAGGCTGGGGGAAACTTCCCAAGCACAGCCTAGGTCAAGCTGAAGGAACATGGCTGACTCCCACTGCTCCAGGGTCGCGGGCTCAGCTCCTGAACTGAGATCAACCCAGCTCATCTCCAGCCGTCAGTCCTATTCTTGCTGAGTCACCAACTTCATCATCTTCAGAGCCATGTCCCCTTGGTCAGAGGGAACCATGTGGCTAGCTCTTAGAATCCAGTAGAAAGCCAGGTTCTTGTAGGACTTGACAAAAGCAGATGTTTCAGAGGATTTGGGGTCGCTGTACAGGGCCTTCCACCTCAGCTGATTGAATTTGGGCAGTTCTGGCCACTTCAGCTTCCGCACCCAGGCCTCCTGACCCATGGTGTCCACGATGAGGTCGAGCTGGCCATTATACACGGTCACATTGACCCCGGCTTCCAGCAGCTCATCCACAATGCTGATGACCGGCTTCATGAAGTCCCCCTCCATGTTCATGAAGACATTGGAAGATTGGGCTCCCCAGGAGAAATCTTCAGGAATAATTTTGAGTTTCTTTCTGATGGGACCATTCATGAGCTGACTCAAGGAATCTCCATGTAGGTGTCTCACGTGACGCTGACACAGACGAACCAAGTGGCTCCGCATGAATTCCAGGCTGGATTCCATGGAAGACATGGGAGTGTCTTTGGTTAAGATGTTGTAGAAGTTCACCCCGTCCGTGTTCTTCTCAATGACCATTTCTGCTTTCTCCCACAGCTGAGTGGCTTCCTTGTAGAGCCCCTTGTTGACGGCATCCAGGACTTGCTCAGCAACATGAGATACCTCCGCCAGACCTTGGTCGTCCAGGAGAGACATGCTGTACAGGTAAGGTCCCCAGGAGAGCACCGAATCAACAGGGGAGATCCAGGAGTCACCCAAGGCAACCCCAGAGAAATTGCACTTGATGGTCCCTTGCTGCACAGCCTTATGAAGTTCTAGACCAATACCAGCAGCCATTTTTCCTCCATAGGACTCATGACTGGTGCATAGGGAGATTATTGATGCCATAAATAGGAGTGTCAATTTGTAAAGTCAACAACAGGAGTCACTGTGCACTTACTCCTCATGTAGGATCTCTGTCCTTAATGTGCTGTACACTGAGGCTTAATGCTATAACGAGTACTCAAACAGTATATTTCACTTTGTGTTTCTATGGGGGGTGCAAACGATTGAAATCTTTACTTAATGTACACTAAACTGATCTTCTGTAAAAAAAAAAAAAAAAAAAAAAAAAAAAAAGAAATTATCAATTCCCAACTTGACTCTCACTGGGATTAAACATGACAATAGGTCTGATCTGATTTCATCATCATTTAAAAAAAATCATCTATTATTTTTCACTTTATGTTTCTGTGTGGGAGCAAACTGTTGAAATCCTTACTTAAGGTATACTAAGCTGATCTTCTGTATATTAAGATAATCGAAAATGAATCTTGATGTGAATGGAAGGGGAGAGGGAGTGGGAAAGGGGAGGGTTGTGGGTGGGAGGGACGGTATGGGGGGGGAAGCCATTGTAACCCATGAGTCGTACTTTGGAAATTTATATTCATTAAATAAAAGATAAAAAAAAAATTAAAAAAAAATAAAAAAAAAAATAAAACATGTAAATACCACAAAAAAAAAAAATCAAATTGAGGAAACTTGCCCTACTATTCATCCTCTTAACCACAAAATAAAATGCAATTATGGCATCATAGGCGTAGATAGACTGATAGTAGGATGGCAGACTACCATGATTTGGGTGTCCCCAAAGGTCCATGATTAAAGACTTGATACTCATGGTGGTGTTATTGGAAAATGGTGGAACTTTTATGAAGTGAGGTCTAGTTAGAGGTCCTGAGGTCATTAGGACTGTGACCTTGGAAAAGATTGTGACATCTTAGTTTTTCTCTCTCTCTCCCTCTCTCTCTCTCTCTCTCTCTCACTTCTCTCTCTCTGTCTCTGTCTCTGTCTCTCTCTCTCTCTGTCTCTGTCTCTCTTCTCTTTCTCTCCTCTCTCTCTGTTTGGCAATGTAGCTCTCCCATACACATGCCCTCCCATGAAGATGTGTCAACATTCATCCATTTGACAAAAGGCTCAACCAATCAGGTGTCCAACCTTAGACCTTGATGTTCCAAAACTGTGAGATAATTTCACCTTTTCTCATTATAAAGATAGCTATATCGGGTAATTCATTATCATAATGTAAAACTAGTATAGAGACTCAATAAAGTTAAGGTTCTAGTGGTATCAATAGGAAAAGTTAAAGAGTGAAAAAGAAAATGTAGACATGCCAAATGACTCTATGGGGAATGTTCTAATAAGTTCACATTTTGAAAAGAAGTGAAAATTGAAAGAAGTATAAATATAAAGAAATGGATATCAAAGAACTATACACTGGAGTGGAGAAAACTTGGGGAAAATATTTGAAACAGATGGTTCATTAAATATAAATAGATTTAGATTTAACTGTATTATAATCTAATATTTAAGCTGAATTAATGTGCATATAGATAGAAACTCTATAAATTCTGACATCCCTGACTAGAAGATAAATGACTGTGCTTGCATAAGATTTTCCTTTTGTTCTATTTTTTGTCACAGTTTGTTTGTCCCATTTATGATATCTGTGGTAGCCTACATATGTAGTCTCTTCTTTCCTAACACTTCTGCCACTACTCACACACTATTTATATATAAATTTATGTAGTTCAAGGAATATCTTGAGTCCAAAATATAACTCAAAGTTATAGCCCATGTATTCTAGATGTACAAGATAAAATCTTGAAATTATTTTTAGCAATATCCATGAATGAAATGAGAATTTTAATAATGACAAAGGAAACATAGAAGATAAAATAATAGGATTATATCAGAAATCTATTGCTACATGCAGAGTTTTAGATCAACAAAGATCTTATTTTCATAATTTTGGGGGTTGGTAAATTGAGGTTGGTCTTGCCTGGGTTCAGTCATGTGTTTGTCATCATCATTTAAGTGGGGATAGTCTAAGATGACTTTTGTTTATATGTCTAACTATTGGTGCTTGCTGTTATCTGGGCTTATGTGTTCTCATATTAACAACATTATTCATACTGTACTCACAGGATTCCAAGAGAAATAGAGCAGAATATTTCATTTATCGGGAAGCTTAGGTTACCACCCTAGTGGCAGAATCTGTGTCCTTTCAGCTAACTGCAGATCTTTCTTGTGTTTTCATTTCCTTAATAATATTCAACCCAAAGGATAAAACAAATGTCACTAATGAAAATTAAAGTAATATTAGGCAAACTTTTCTGTTCTCTAATAAAATATAGTAATTTTCAGAAGCAATATGTACAACATTGTGAAAGAACCTTAAAGCAAAGGATTTGGGGCCATCATTTGGGGTAATGAGTAAAGTCAATGCCTACCATGCCGGCCTTCCATATGGTTACCGATTTTGTCCTGGCTGTTCCACTTCTGATTCAGCTCCCTTGAAAAAGTAACAGAAGGTGAGGCAAGTACTTGTGCCCCTGCCAACCCATATGGAACACCTAGATGAAGCTCCTGACTCCTTGCTTCGGCCTAAACCAGCCATGGCCATTGTAGCCATATGGGGAGTCAACCAGTGGATTGAAGACTTCTCCCTCACTCTGTCTCTCCCTCTCTCTATATGCCTCTGACTTTCAAATAAGGAAATCATTTAATTTTTGAAATTTGTTTGTAGATATTTATAGATTCACATGGAATTGTAAGAAAAAAATAGAGAGTTCCTTGGCGTACTTTCCCAGTTTTGCCAAATGTAAATATTTTTGTAAAATTGTGGTAGCTATAGGGGCTAGTGCTGTGGCATAGTGGGTGAAGCCACCGTCTGCATGCCCACATCCCATATGGGTGCCAGTTTGAGTCCTGGCAGGTCAACTTCTAATCCAGCTCTCTGCTATGGCCTGGGAAGGCAGTAGAAGACAGACCAAGTCCTTGGGCTCCAGCACCTGTACGGAAGACCCAGAAGAAGCTCCTGGCTTCTGGCTTTGGATCGGCCCAGCTTTAGCCTTTGTGGCCATTTTGGGAGTGAAGCAACAGATGGAAGACCTCTCTCTTTCTCTGCCTCTGCTTTTGCCTCTCTGTAACTTTGCCTTTCAAATAAATAAATAAATCTTTAAAAAAACAAATCCGTAGTATAATATCAAAACCAGGATATTGATATTGATACAATACATTGACCTTACTCAGATTTCCTGTTTTATCTGTACTCTATACATTATGTCCTACACAATTATATCATCCATGTGGTTTCATGTATCCATCACCACAGTCAATTCCCATATTACAAGACCCTCTCATGTTGTCCTTTTATAACCACACCCACTCCCTATCTTCCTCTAAGTTTCTAACGTCTGGAAATCACTAACATTCCCTTCATTTCTAAAATGTTATAATTTCAAATGGTTGTATAAATGGAATCATATAGTATGTAGACTTTTGGGATTGGCCTTTTTCACTCAGAGTAATTTTTAGGATACTCATTAAAGTAGTTGTACATATCAGTATTTCATTCATTTCCACTGCCAAGTAGTATGTACTTGAAGAATTTCTACAAAAAGGAATGAAAAGCGCTTGAGGAGATAGATATTTTTCCACAACTGGGACTTTGCACAATGTATATATGTATCAGAACATCATGTGGTACCCCAAAATATGGACAATTTTTATATTTTAATTAAAAATGTAAACAAAAGTTTTAAAATAGTTTTTATGAGTAAAGTAGGACTTCAGGAAGTGAAGTATCCCTTGACTAAGATTGTTAATAACAGCAACGATAAGATTTAAACTTAGACACCAAGGCAATTATCTTCATTTATTATCAATTTATTTACTGAGAACAAAACCATTTCACATTATCATTGGGTCTTGTATTTTTTTCCTTGATAGCACTTAGCATTATATTTAAGGCATTATTCATGCAGCTGTCTTTCCACTATTTTTTAATATTAAATTATTACTCAATAGGAAAGCAGCACGAATTGAACTTCACTTATTCACCATTGAATTTGTTTAAAAGATTTATTTATTTTGCTCCTGGCTTCAGATCAGTGCGGCTCCAGCCGTTGCAGCCAATTGTGTTGGGGAGTGAACCACTGGATGGAAGACTTCTCTCTCTCTGCATTGGATGGAAGACCTCTCTCTCTCTCCCTCTCTCTCTCTCTCTCTCTCTGCCTCTCCTCTCTGTGTAACTCTGACTTTCAAATAAATAAATAAAAAGATATATTTATTTTTAAAGTCAGAGTTACACAGAGAGAGAAGTCTTCCACCCGCTGGTTCACTGCCCAGATGGCCACAATGGCTGGACCTGTGCTAATCTAAAGCCAGGAGTCAGGATTTTCTTCTGGGTCTCCCACATGGTATAGGGGCCAAGGACTTGGGCCATCTTCTACTGCTTTCCCAGGCTATAGCAGAGAGCTAGATCAGAAGTGGAGCAGCCAGGACTTGAACCGGCGTCCACTGCAGGCGGTGGCTTTACCCACTATCCCAGAGTGCTGCCCCTAACACTGAATTTTTAAACCTAACATAATGTCAGAGCATAAAGCTCAATTCATGTCCTTTGAATTAATCAATATACCATGGTTAAATATCATAATTTCTTTCCAATAATTTAGTTATTGCACTGAGTACATGTTTTTTTTTTCCATGTTTCAAAGAAATATCAGTAAAATATTTAAGGACATCAAGTGGTTTTAATATTCTAGGTACCATAATTGAAGTAGGATTCGGGGAAGATTATTCCAGTATACAAATGTGTAGCCTGTAATTTTGCCAGTCCAGAGTCCACTCTACTGATACAGCACCCTAATTGCTTTTTGGAATACTGTCTTTCTCAAAGGAGTTATTTTCATAGGAGTCTACCCTACCCTCGGGCTCCGAAGATGATTAAAAAAATATACTCTAAAATACACACATTTAACTATTAGCTGCAAAGAAATACACACAATTCAAGGCTAACTCTTAAT